AAAAAAGAGAGAGAGAGAGAGAGCAAAGTTTGAGACTAATAAGAACTAATCGAGTTACCTATAAATAATTTTGCAAGATCTGTTTAATGTTCTGACCTTTAGGTCGTGCTATATGGTATCGGCTGCATCTTTCTCTGCAAGTGTTGCCAAATTTGAGCCGCCTTCCGTTCATTTTATTGATTCAAATTTAAAATTTATGTTTTGTTACAATAAAAAGAAACAGTTACATTTAATTTTTTTACTACGATAAAAAAGTTTCACATAAAATAATATCTTAACTTGAATTAAAAATTAAAATCAGTAAACTAAACGGATTAATAGAATTGAAATCAGCCCCCTTTCTTAGAAGCTGCCGAATTCCTTCTCGAAAATCAGCCCAAAGAAAATTATCAGGCCCTCGAATCATTGAATGGATATATACTCATTGGTGGGGTAAAAAGTCCGCTTTTCCTCTTCCATTTCTACTGATTTCAAGAAGTTAAACCCCCTCCCTTTTAATTCCTACATCTGCCGTGATACTCCCTCCACTATCTCTCAAAATATATATATATATATATATATATTGTTCACATGAAGGTCTAGAAATCTCACTTCAAAAGCAAGACCAAGTAGAAGAATCTATTTTGGTAGGGGTTTTGGTTAGTCTATTGATTTTCTTTAAGTTTTGATTATGCTTTAAAAGCTAAGTTTACTTTCTTTCTCTTAGAAAATAGAGCATGTTGAAGGGAGCTAGAAGATTAAGAAAAATAATATCAAGACGAGGTAAAGTCCTTTACCATGGTTGAAAATCAAGTTTGGATTCCCTTACACAAAGTATAGAAAAATGAAGTTTATGGTTGAGAGTATTATTTTAGCCCGTATTATTGAGAATGTGAGCTAGAAGCATGCCTAAGTGTTATGTTGTTATGGTGTTATATGTTAAATTTGATACATAGTTTAAAGGAAATCGTAAAGTTTTTATTTTGATGTGGTTTAAGAAAAGTTTATGATAAAAATAGGAATTTTAAATGAAGGTTTTAGTTTGGCATGAAAATGAAATGATTTAGCTTGATTGTATGGGCTAATTACTGGTTGTATACTTATTTTTATGGGTTGAAAAGCCTGGTTAAAAAAAAATCCCAAGAGAACAAAAACTTGACAAAAAGGCCCATTTTTTTACCCAAAACATGTTTATGCCCAAATTACTGGATAGAAGTCTGCATTAGCTTTTTATCAAACATAAAGGTTTTATATCACAAAGAATAGAACAGAAAGTCTCTTCAAATGCGAACCCTAAGATAGAGTTATACCCCATGCAATATTCAGCCACTATCAAAAGTACAAGTAGATGGCGGAATCAGTTTAAGTGATCAACATAGAAGTTGTAGATTATATTAAAATAAGAAACTTTCATGAAGAAAGTTATATATTCCCTTTAGAATTCAAGTTATTTAGGGTGCAAGATTTCTACCAAAACTTTGACTAAGGAACTAATGATTAGATGCTTAGAATTAGCCTAAGGTTTTAGTTTGGCCTAAGGGGCAAAAATGTCATAATTTTTTATATCAGGTCAAAATGAAAAATCAGGAAATTATAAGGACCAACCTACAAAAAGGGTCTCACAACCTATTCAGGACAGTAAGGTAACTCGTTGCCTAGGAAACTCGTTGGGGGCAAAACGGTCATTTTCTATCAAAAGGGTAACTGAGTCAAGCACACATTGAGCTTCGTGTTCCAGCTCATAGTCCTTGAGGGCATCATATTTTTCATAAAAAATATGGGTTGTTTAGTTGGAGAATTTGTACCCTGATTTGAATCATAATTTATGGTTTGTTATAGTATTTTCTCTCACAAAAAATACACATAAATCAAAAATAATTTTAATCTCACGATTCTAATCTATGAACTAAAGGTCTCCTGATTCATGTGATTTAAATGGTCAAAACCCGTTAGGGATAAAATAGTAATTTTCTCCATAAGTGAAACCGTCAATTGAGACCCAAAGGCCCTGTTTGTTTCCGTTTTCATTTCCATTTTTCACGTTTTTCGAGATTAAAAAATGAAAACGAAAACAGAAAATGCGTTTGGCCTAAAAATTTTTTAAAAATAAAAACAAAACCGTTTTTGTCTTTTGTGAAAAATTGAAAACGAAAAAAATGTATTTTCATTTTCTCGTTTCGTTTTCTGAAAACGGATTTCATTTTTTTTTTTCATTTTCTTCTCTCTCTTTTCTGAAACTGTTTTTGTCTTATATAATGATGTTTATTTAATATATTTATTTAATATATTTAATATATTATTTATTTAATATATTATTATTTAATATATTATTACATGTTTTCAAAAATTAAACCACCAAATGAAATCAATCTCTGAATAAAACTACCAAACGCATTTCAGAAATAATTTCAAAATGAAAATGAAAACATTTTCATTTCTATTTTCATACAGAAAACAAAAACATTTTGGAACCAATTCCAAACGCACCCAAAAACTTTATGACCAGACACAATCCCTAAAAAGGAGATCTCTGAGGTAGGAATAAATTAATTGGGTTTAAAAGTTAATAAGATTAGGGAGAAAGAGAAAAATATGCCAAGATTTGATATGAATTAAAATTAATAGGCCAATAGTTTACGTGAGTTAATAAATAAGCCAAATTATTATTTTTGTCCATAACTTGTCCGGTTATGAACCATAACTTGACAAGTTATTGTCCATAACTTATCTAGTTATGAACCATAACTTGACAAGTTTGTCCATAACTTATCTGGTTATGAACCATAACTTGACAAGTTATGGTCTATTAATTTCTATAACTAAAAAATGACCTATATACTTTCTTAAGCTTTTCATATTGGCCTATTTCCTACTATTTCTCATAAGATTAACTAATCAAGTCTCAAAATTAATTAGTTAATTAATTAATGAAAATAATTATTTAATTATTTAATCTATCAGAAAGTATCACGAAATTTTAGAAACGGGATAATTAAATTAAACTAATTAATTACAATGATGCCACTAAAACTTAAACTTGTAAAATTTATGCAAAGTGAAATTTAAAGTTATAGAATAAAGTAATAGTCGGGTGTCGACTTAAATTGTACACAAAACCGACTACACTAAAGGAATGGTTTGACTTGAAAAGACGTTGAGTGCAAATTATTTAAGTGAGTACAAATCTCACCTACAACATGAATAGTTTTAAAAGATGTGCTTGCTAAATTATTTGTCTTTGTGTATATGTTATTTATGATTGATGAATGATGATGATGATCATGAGTATATTACGGATGATGATGTTTTAAAGTATGTTGCCTTTTCAGCTAAGTTATGTTTATAATATTTATGTGACATGATTATAATCTCATGTTTACTTAAATAAGAGGCTAAGATAAAAGAAGTAAAGTTAAGTGTCGTACCACCCTCCACGAGGGGGAGGTAACGAAGTTCCACGAGGGAGATATAAGTAATGAAGTAATAATTGTGACCTTGAGTGTTGTCAAACTAAATGTTTGGGTCGCTCCACTGGTATCTCATTGATCACGCGCTATCGATACGTGCACAAGGACCTAAAGAAGAATAATTGGACTTTCATAATAAAGCATAAATGGTCATGCATTCTCTACTGTGTTGTTATATTTGAAAAATATTTTGTGAGATATTTATACTTACTGAGCTTTAGTTCACTAAGTTATTCATATTATAAGTATAACGGGTTAAATCCCACAACTCAGATGTTTCAAAGGATTGGCTGCAGGATTGGCTGCAGGGCAATGGGGGTAAGGATATTAGATACCATTGTGCATGATTTCCCCATTAAGAGTATTTCCGAACTATGATTTATGTTAATTGTTAGAAAGTTTAAAGTTTAAGTAATTTAGTTAGATTATAAATGTCTCATTGAGAAATATGTATATGTTTTTAAAGGTTAAGTTATTCCTATAGGGGAATTAGAAAGTGACTTATTAATCGGGTAACCTTAAGTTTATTACATATAATATTTATTTTTAAAATGATTGAAATTGTGAAGTTAAATAACTATTAATTTGTAAAATATTGATGTAATTGTCGTAGATTTACATGTATACGAAATTAACTTTTCAAGTTATGGTCACGCAAGTAATTAAGTCACTTCTAAACAATAGTCTAATTAGTACACTTTTATACAATAAAGAAAAATATGTTTCAACTTATACTGCGTTTGGAGTAAGAATTTGTGTCATAGTTCGGATCATGATTCGTGGCTCGTTATAGTGTTTTCTCTCACAAAAAAATACACGTAAATTGAGAATTATTATGAATCATAATTCTGAATCTATAAACAAAACGTGTTTTGAAAACCCCCTTTTTCCTAGTCAAGTCGAAGTCTAAAATTAAGACGATAGAAGATTTATGTTTTCTTAAAAAAAAAATCTCTGAAATTTTAGTAATTAGAAATTTGTTTATAATCAAGCATAAAGTTGAATTAAGTATATTTAAATAAGCTTAGTATGAAAATTCATATCGTTATATGTAAATTATTCAAAATTCTTTTGTTATATTTTAACATAACTAGAAAGATTATGCTATATGTGAGAGAAAGAGAGAGAAACTTACGTATTATGCCATCAAAATTTAACAACTTTACATCAACGTCATCTAATATCTTATTATGATTTAAGAGATGTTTGTTTCATGTATTTGTCTCTGATTTTAAATTATGATTTATGGTTTTTTACAGTATTTTTTTTTCATAAAAAACACACATGAACGAGAATTTTAAATCATAATTCTAAATACATAAATCAAATTATGATTTATGGTTTTTTACAGTATTTTTTTTTCATAAAAAACACACATAAACGAGAATTTTAAATCATAATTCTAAATACATAAATCAAACGTACAAAATAATAATATTCTATTTTATTTCTCAAAAAAAAAAAAAAAAACTCTGAAACGTTAGTCCATTCCGATTTACAAGCCCATTACTATCGTGTACACTTTATATCCTTATCCTGAAGCTGCAATAATAAACCAATAAAACATGGAGAAGGACAATACTACTGGGAAATATTCAGTTGTGTGATGACCCGGGAAAGAGAGGAAGATGGTGGTGTTGGGTTCACTTTGCCAACTTAACCCCTCTCCAGTTTTAACAACAACAACTTCTTCTTCTTCTTGTTCATGTTTAAGATCAACACAAAATGGTATTTTCACAAGAAGAAGGACAATACTACTGGGACAAAGTCTTGTAGTGACTTCTTTACTTGAGTTGTGTAACCCAATTCTCTCAGCTCCTTCGTTTCGCCTTGCAATTGCCCAACAACAACAACAAGATGATCTTCAGCAAGAAGAAGACCGAATTGTGCATCTCTTTGAGGTCTCTCTCTCTCTCTCTCTCTCTCTCTTACTCTCTGTTTTTGTTTCAACCTTTTGGGCAGGGTAAAGCTGTGAAATCGAATAATTGATACCTTTTCACGTCTTTGATTCTACTAATTTGACCCATCTTGGATAACGTGATTTCTAAGAAGAGTGGTACTCTTCAGAGCCTTTTTTTCATATTATTATTATTATTTTTATTACTTTTTCATTGTTGTGTATTGAGCGTCAGGGTCTGGATAATCTGTGTAGGGATAAAAGCCATAGATTTCTGGTCTATGAGGTGTGGACGATATAAAAAGAGAAAACAGAGATGGAACTTTTTTATGTTGATATTTTACAAGAAACTAGTTTGGTTTTTTTTTTTTGTTTTTTCCTTGCACTTAAGGTCCTCAACCTTTTAGACATTTGGCTTTTGGATTCCTACTTTAAAAATTTAGACAGCTAGATCGCCCAAACTCTTTTAATTTCTTGATAGTTGGGGTCCTTATTTTAAAAATTTGGATAACTAAGTAGTGAGTCCTCAAACTTCCATTCTCTTGGCACTTGGGTCTTCATTTTGAAATTTTTGAACAATAATAAAATAAATATTTCAAAAATATTAAAATATTAATCATATAAATATTCGGGAGATACTCAAAATGGGAACATAAGTGCTAAGAAAATGGGAGTTTGACGACCGAATTGACCAAATTTCAAATGGGGATCCCAACGCCAAAGGTCAAAAAGTTTAGGACCTCGAATGTAAAAAACCCTTTACAAAATTGCTTTCCTAATTCTTATGAATTTTTCTTATTTTTCTTTTAATTTTTATATAGGCGCAAAAGTTCTAAGGAAATTTTTGTGGTAGGGTATGAAAAAATGCGTACCCTTCTCGTAGAACATAATTTTGAATCATTAGATCAAATCAAAATTATATTAAATTCCAAAAGCATGACAATTTAACTGAAGTTAATGAAAATTTGACGAATTAGAACTATGCCCTACCAGACAATTCTCCAAATTTTGAATATTGAATGTGACCAAAATTGCATCAAAATGAAAAGAACGTCTTATTGGTATAGAGTACATTTTCATATCCTACCAACGAATTCTTTTTCTGTTATGTCTCAATGTTCCATTTATCCTTTTTTGACATTGACATTTATAAAAATAAATAAATAAATTGTAACTGTAGGAAACATCTCCGTCTGTTGTGTTTATCAAAGACCTTGAAATAGACAAAAGCCTCAAGACCTCTGCTGAAGAAGTCATGCTTAGAGAGGATAATAATACAAAAATTGAAGGGACAGGTTCTGGCTTCATCTGGGACAAATTTGGTCACATTGTAAGCCATACAAAATCCTCCTTTTAGCCTTGTATTTCAACTTTAAATACTGCATTTTATGTCTTTCTGCGTTGGTGTTAACATTCAATACATGAAATACGAGGGGGAAAACAACACGAAAAAGGAGAGAGATTTCTTAGTTTAAAGTAATGATTAAACATCTTTACTTAAATTACGATTATCAGTATTGTCCTTCTCATCCTATTGAAACTAGTAATGCCTTTGTGTACAACAGGTCACAAATTACCATGTGGTGTCTAAATTGGTCACGGATACAAGTGGATTACACCGTTGTAAGGTTTTTTCCTTTAATTCAACTTGTTAAATTCTTCGTATTGTGATTTGCTTCTTGTTTGTACCAGGTAAAATGGTGAGCCAATATATGAAGTTTCCTATTTAGAGTTGGAATTTGGTTGAGTGGCAGCTGAATTTTGGACTTTTCTTGGCAGGTATATCTGGGAGATGTAAAGGGAAATGGATTTTACAGGGAAGGCAAGATTGTTGGCTATGATCCAGCATATGATCTAGCGGTTCTTAAGGTTTGGTCTTGCATACCATTTTCTCTTGTCTTGGATTTTTTTTTTTTTTCCTTTTTTAACGCAGATTACAATTTAAGCAAGTTTAGTGGAAAACATGGAACATATTCTGTAAATGCTCTGAGAGTATCGTCGTAAATATTGTTGATTCACTGTCCAGTAGAGACCGGCATTAAATTTTGTTGGTCGTGAAGAGTGTTATACACATGTCCAAATATCTTGTCAAGAAGTATTAATAGCAAGATCGAAATTAATTTTACGACGATAAATCAGCCATATTTGTCCTTATTCTGTTTATCTTTGAATGTCTGTCCGTCATATTTTTTTAAGATTTTTTGATGTCTAATAATGCAACCCCTTCATACGAAGGGATGATCACGACATTTCTGTTGCTTGCAAAGTTATGATTCATATATCATTTCCAGGTTGATGTTGCAGGATATGAATTAAAGCCGGTCGTCCTTGGTACTTCACGGGATTTACATGTGGGCCAGAGCTGCTTTGCGATTGGAAATCCTTACGGATATGAGAATACACTAACAACTGGGGTACTTTTTCTTAGTGATTTCTTTTTGGACAATGTTTCAGTCAGAATCTTATTCAGTTTTTTTGAGTACTAAAACAATGCAGGTGGTCAGTGGGTTAGGGAGGGAGATACCCTCACCAAATGGAAGCGCCATTCGAGGCGCAATTCAAACAGATGCAGCCATTAATGCTGGTAAGAACACAATTTTGTTTTTTAGTTTTATATAGCCTTTATACAAGACTCATAATTGTCGTTCTTTTTTTCTTTGCTTTCTGATGTTCATACTATACGGGCAAAGAATTATTCTCCAATTCTAGCTAGAGTCATCACTTGTTATCAGATGGGGGCTATTGTGTCAAGCGTAACTACCCTGTAAATTAGGCCCTTCAGCAAACATTTCTATTAGCGTCTTAGACAACTCTTTCAGTAGCGCTCTAGGGGATACGCTAATGCCTCCTTCCTGAACTTTTATTTAAAAAAAAATGAAAAAACTACCGAGCAAGTTATGCTTCCTGTGAGGAATTTGGACCAAGAACCGAAACCAAGAACACCAGAAACCAAAGAACAAATACGCAGAAAGAACATACAAAGAAAGAATGAGAATACTGGACAATTCAACTGGAATTTTATTGACAGCAAAACCCTTTCTCAAATCTTTACACCCTCAAGAAAGATCTCTCTCAATCTCAATCTCACTGTACACAAGAATGTTTCTCTCTACAAGCATATCACTCAGAAGAAAAGAATAAAAGAACAGAGAAGATAAAAACTAATCTCTGAACCTATCTAATATATACACCTAACGGCCTTATCTACATTCTTGATTCTCTATAGGCATGCTCACTAAAACTCTCCTGTTATGTAAGACGAGTTAACCATTTGCTTGCCACATCACCAGATGAATTTGCAGCCATATCACAACAATTCTCCACCTGGCTGCAATTTTCAGAACACTTTGCTCACATTCAGACAACACCTGCATTGATATCCTTAACTTCCAGCAAATCTAGACAATGTTTGAACTTTGGTGAAAACAAAGCTTTAGTTATCATGTCAGCCGGATTTTCATCTGTAGAAACTTTCTCCAGAATAACCTCCTTCTTAGCTATGACTTCTCTGATAAAATAGAACCTCACATCTATGTGTTTGGTCCTTTCATGATAAACTTGATTTTTAGCCAAATGTATTGCACTTTGACTGTCACAATACACTTTGGCAAACACCTGTTTCACTCCTAACTTTGTTGTAATTCCTTTTAACCATTTAGCTTCTTTTATAGCTTCAATTAATGCCATGAATTCAGCTTCAGTTGTTGAAAGTGACACCACCTGCTGCAAGTTAGCTTTCCAACTAACAGCATTACCACAAACCTTGAACACATATCCTGTAAGTGACCTTCTATTATCAACACACCCTGCATAGTCTGAATCCACAAATCCAACAACAGTCTCCAAATTCTTGCCATATTTTTTGTACAACAACCCAACTCCTGGCGTTCCTTTTAGATACTTGAAAAGCCACTTCACAGCCTCCCAATGAGCCTTCCTTGGTTTGGCCATATACCTGCTAACCACACTCACTACATATGCAAGGTCTGGTCTTATACAGACCATTGCATACATTAAGCTTCCCACTGCATTGGCATAAGGTATTTTCTCCATATAAGCTGCTTCTTCTTCACATGATGGTGAATCCTGTTGTGAGAGCTTGAAATGCTGACTCAAAGGTGTCAAAACTGGTTTACATTCCTGCATTTTGAACCTTTTAAGCACTTTCTCTACGTAACCTTTCTGAGAAACAAACAAGGTTCCTTTGTGCTTGTCTCTGACAATATCCATACCCAAAATCCTCTTGGCAGGACCCATGTCTTTCATGTCAAACTCTTTCTTCAGCTGTTGCCTCACCCGGTCAAGATCAGACTTGTTCTTGCATGCTAAAAGCATATCATCAACATATAGGAGAAGATATATAATATCTCCCCCTAACCCCGAGTTACTGTACACACAATTATCAAATTCACATCTATTGAAGTTGTTTTGAGTCATAAAGGAGTCAAAACGTTTATACTATTGCCTTGGAGACTGTTTATGTCCATATAAGGACTTCTTCAATAGACAAACCAAACTTTCTTTACCTTTCTCCAAGAATCCCTCAGATTGAGCCATGTAAATGTCTTCTTCAAGTTCACCATGTAAGAAGGCTGTTTTCACATCTAATTGCTCCAACTCCAAATCATCTTTTGCAACCAATGACAAGAGGATTCTTATGGAACTATGCTTCACAACCGGTGAGAAAACCTCATTATAATCTATTCCTTCTCTTTGGGAGAACTCTTTAGCAACCAATCTTGCCTTAAACCGAGGTGTCTCCACACCAGGAATGCCTTTTTTGAACTCATACACCCATTTACTTCCAATAAGCTTCTGTTTTGGAGGCCTTTGAACCAGCTTCCACGTTTGATTCTTGTGTAAAGACTTCAATTCTTCTTCCATTGCTGCCATCCATTGATTGCAATGTCTTTATTGCTTCTTGAAAGGATTTTGGTTCAAAATCCTCAACTTCTGAAGCTACAGTCAAGGCAAATGCTATCAACTCTGCATATCCGAACCGCTCTGGTGGTTTTACTTGTCTTCTCTGTCTGTCCCGAGCCAATGAATAGTTTTGCATCTGATTTAAGCTTCTTGACCTTGTCAAGTCTTCATCTGCAACCTAATCAGTGAATTCTAATTTTGTCCCGTCATCATCATCTGCCTGATCTTCACTAAAGCCAACATGGTTGCCTAATTGCTGTGAAGTCTCTAACTTAAGCTGCACTTTTTCTGCTTGTTGACTGTTGTCACTTTTCCTTGGCTGGGTCTCACTCTTGTCTGGCTTGGAGTAATACATTTCAGTTTCTCCAAAAGTGACATCTCTGCTATTGAACACCTTTGGATGCCCCTTTGGTACACACTAGAGCCTATATCCTTTCACACCTTCGGGATACCCCAGAAACATACACCTGAGTGCTCTAGGCTCTAATTTTCCTTGGTTTATGTGGGCAAAAGCTGTACATCCAAACACCTTTAAGCTTTCCAACTTCGGAGGATGACCAGACCATTTTTCTTCTGGTGTTTTGAGAACAATAGCTATTGATGGACTTTTATTAATCAAATGTGCTGCAGTCATAATAGCCTCTGCCCAAAAAACTTTTGAAAGATTGGCATTCGAAAGTAAGCACCTAACCCTTTCAAGAATGGTCTTATTCATTCTTTCAGCAAGACCATTTTGTTGGGGGGTCTTTTTCACAATATGATGCCTTGCTACTCCTTGATCTTTACAGAATTGAGTGAACTCATTCCCACAATACTCCAAGCCATTATCAATTCTCAAATGTTTAAGTTTCCTACCAGTTTGGTTCTCTACTAGAGTCTTCCATTCCTTGAACTTTTCTAGAGCATCACTTTTATTCTTGAGAATATAGACCCGCAATTTTCTGGAATAGTCATCAATTATAGACAGAAAATACCTTGCTCCAGAGTGAGATGGAACTGTAGATGGTCCCCAAAGATCTGAATGAACATAATCCAAGATTGCCTTTGTGTGGTGCACTGCCCTTAAGAACTTTACCCTGCTAACCTTCCCATAAACGCAGTGCTCACTGAAGGGCAGATCTTGTAGCTTACTCTCTCCTAGAAGACCCTGCTTTTCCAGCTCCTTCAAACCTTTTTCACTGATGTGAGCCAGCCTCATATGCCAAAGTTGTGTTTTTGAAATTTCAATCCCTTCGGCTAGTGCTACAACTCCCACAACCGTTCTTCCTTGAAGCAGATATAGGCCATTTTCAAGGGATCCTTTCATTACAATCATAGATCCTTTAATGACCTTACCCCTCCTTCAAGCTTGATACAGTATTCTTGTGAGTTCATTATGCCCAGAGAAATTAAATTTCTCCTTAAGTCTGGAACATGCCTTACACCAGTTAAAATTCTTTCCACACCATCTGCCAACCTCAACCTTATGTCTCCTATTCCCATAACGTTTTAGGCCTTGTTATTACCTAGCAATACTCGTCCACTATTGCACACCCTGTAATTCTAGAACCAAGACTTGTGAGGACTCATGTGAAATGAACATCCGAAGTCCATAACCCACTCCAAACTGGTATTCTCTGCTGTAACACATAGTAGCTCAGAACTTTCATAACCATCCGAGGCTACATTTGCATCTACTGTATCTTTGTGTTTGTCACTTCCCTGTTTATTTCTTTCTGGACATTCTTTCTTCAAATGACCCTCCTTGTGGCATACAAAGCACTTTCTTTTATACTTAGATTTCGATCTTGGCCTATTTTTGTTCTTAAAATCACATTTCTCAGGTCTTCCCTAAACATTTAGGCCCTCGGCTACATTGTCTTCTTTTCCTTCAGTCTTCTTTTTCAATTCTTTTGAAAACAAAGCCGATTGAACATCTTCTAAAGAAAGTGAATCACGCCCAAAAATAAGGGTATCTGAAAGATTTTCAAACTCACTGAGTAAGGACCTTAACAGAAGCAGAGCTTGATCTTCATCTTCAATCTTGATCTCAATGTTCTTGAGATCCAAGATTATCTTGTTAAAGTCATCCATGTGATCTTCCAAAGACTTCCCAAGAGGCATCTTCAACGTGTACAGCCTTTGCTTGAGATACAACCTATTGGCCAAAGATTTGGTCATGTATAGGTTTTCGAGTTTGAGCCACAATGTCGCTGCTGTCTTCTCTTTGGAGACTTCTCGAAGAACCTTATCACCTAAGCTGAGAATCAAAACGATGTGGGCTTTGTCAAGGAGATCCTTTTTCTCCTTCGTCGATAACGTTGTCGGCAAGTTCATCTCACCGCTGAGAGCCTCCTCCAATCCTTGTTGAACCAGCAATGCCCTTATCTTCAACCTCCATAGCGCAAAATCATTCTTCCCTGTGAATTTCTCGATCTCGAATTTCGACAGCCCCATTCTGAATCTCCACCAGAAGCTCTGATACCAAATTGTGAGGAATTTGGACCAAGAACCGAAACCAAGAACACCAGAAACCAAAGAACAAATACGCAGAAAGAACATACAAAGAAAGAATGAGAATACTGGACAATTCAACTGGAATTTTATTGACAACAAAACCCTTTCTCAAGTCTTTACACCCTCAAGAAAGATCTCTCTCAATCTCAATCTCACTGTACACAAGAATATTTCTCTCTACAAGCATTATCACTCAGAAGAAAAGAATAAAAGAACAGAGAAGATAAAAACTAATCTCTAAACCTATCTAATATATACACCTAACGGCCTTATCTAAATTCTTGATTCTCTGTAGGCATGCTCACTAAAACTCTCCTGTTATGTAGACTGAGTCAACCACTTGCTTGCCACGTCACCAGATGAATTTGCAGCCATATCACAACACTTCCTTAGCTAGTTGTAGTCAAGGATGAAAATATCGACATTTTTACTGATATTTTCGTGGAAATTTCCATAATTTGAAAGTACCAATATAAAAATATAGAGGTATAGTATTTTTTCCACATAATTTCTTAAAATTTTCATGGATATTTTCATAAATATCAATATTTTCACGGAAATTCCATTTCCGGATAAAATAGTGTTAAATGACTGAGTATCGTGAAAATTTTATAGAAATATCGGTAAATTTCTAAAGAGATTTCTGCAACCTTATATATATTTTTTATTTTACTTTTCAAAAAAAATCTAAAAAATATGACATGTTCAAAATTATATAACGAACTATTCAAACTCTATGTCTTGGTATTAATATTGTTTAAACTAATAATGTGTTCAAAATACTCTCCAACCTCATAGAAGCTCCTTTTTAGTATTGATAATTCAATATCATGTATCAAACCATATATGTATGATATATGCATTACGTTGACTTTCAACTATTTTACTTAATTTGTGAACGCGTGCTTAGTATTTATGGTATTATGATCACACTTTATCTTGCATATTTATCAAATAATTGATATTTTGATTGAGAGTTTCATCTAATTAATGTATTATTATCTATTTTAAAATTTTTAAAGTCTAATTTAAAAATATAGTGTTTTAGTATGATTTTTTTATTTTTTCCGTTAATTTTTATCAAATTCGTGGACGTTCATATGCGGAAACGCTTATTATACTAGAACTCATGCCGTATCGAGCATGTTATCCAATTTTAAAATTGGTTTATTCTGCAGCAGCAAATGCTAATCACAATATGCGCTTCAACGAAGCAAATTTAATAATTAGTAAAGCTAAAGTCAACAAGGGCAACACTGTGAAAAACCGATGTTGATATTTCTATCGATATTTTTGTAGAATTTAAGTATCAATATTTTCGTAAATATCAATATTTCATCCTTGGTTGTAGTTGCGCTTCATCTCGTAAAATGAATCCTCAAAAGTCAAGAGTACATCACCTTAGAAAAAGGAAAAACCTCATGAGACTTGTCTAACTCTTAAAGTTGCTCCAGAAGGATCGAAGAGCTACATGAGTGAAATTCCATCTTTTATGCCCCAAAAAACAAAAGTGATCTTGATAAAAAGTCTTTCCATTTGTCCAACTGAAATAGTTGAAGCTTTTTGAAACTATAAGAAGTTTATAATTTCACACATTGTTCATCCTTGTCAAATTATGATTTTTGATCGACATCTTTTCACGGCCATTAGCGTACTGTGACTGAATTTGTAGGTTTCTTTATTTACTAGCTTTTAATGAATGGTACACGTATAGGGAATTCCGGTGGGCCCTTGATTGATTCATATGGCCATGTCATTGGAGTTAATACTGCAACCTTCACACGTAAAGGTAAGTATCTATGTTCAGTTGTATTTCTTATGTGTACTTTTGGACAAGCTTTTGAGAAACAAAAAATCTGCTGCTTAAGCTTTTTCTATTTGTGAACTCAAATAATTTATAGAATAATGCTGATCTTCTTCTCGCTAAATGTTAGGAAACGTACTTTCTCAAATGCTGAAAAAATCAAAAAAATGTTATCAATCTTGAGTCCCCAATACATACAAAGATTTCATGAGAGAAAAATGATAAATTCAGAATAATGGTAGACTTTAAGAACTCAGCTTGAAAACATTGGAAACTGATGACCGATTTTCCCCAAGAATCTGATATTCCTATGTTTCGCAGGCACGGGAGTATCATCGGGTGTCAACTTTGCGATCCCAATCGACACTGTTGTGAGGACTGTACCTTATCTTATTGTTTATGGAACCCCTTACAGTAACAGGTTTTGATAATCTTTTTTCTATGTAGTGCATCAATAAAAGGATACCTCTCACAATGCTTCTAGTGGTTCAAAAATATTTTAGGTGTTCGCTTCTGTCCTATATTTGTGAAGAACCAGATCTTAAAAGTTTCACTGGGGAACCCAATTCATTTTCCGATAGCACAAATTTGAATTTGAACGAGATTTTTTTGTCCCCTTATTTTGCAATTACTAATGTTAATCGATTCATGAAGAGTGAAATTCAATAAGCCATCGCGACCTTTTGTTCTCTCTTTATTTTGATACAACACAAGGTTAAACCAGTAACCCCCACTTAACCCCACTCTACTCCCCAAACCCCCTGCCACTGGACTATGGCTTAGTTTGGTATTACTTTTCTTTCCTAAAATCAGTTCCTGCTTGTATCAGAAGCTTATTTTAATGTTTGGTAAATCTTTTTAAAAGTGTTTTTTGAAGAATTTTTTAAAAATCCACAACCAAAATCAAAAGTAGCCTAAACACAATTTTAACTTTTAGATTGTGTAGGAATCGACATAGTACAATTAATGAAACTTTCATAATACCCATAATACCCCTAATGAAATTTAAAATTTTCAATTTAAAATTCAGACTCGTAATATAATATAATATAATATTATATTGTAACAAATAATATCATAATTATATTAATAACTCTAATATTATTATTTGATCATATAATATGATATTATAATTATATAATATATTATATAATTATAATATAATTATAATAATAACTGAAATAATTAAAAGTAACGATTATATTATATTATACTATAATATAATATATAATATATTATATAATTATAATATAATTATAATAATAACTGAAATAATTAAAAGTAACGATTATATTATATTATACTATAATATAATATATAATATATTATATAATTATAATATAATTATAATAATAACTGAAATAATTAAAAGTAACGATTATATTATATTATACTATAATATAATATATAATATATTATATAATTATAATATAATTATAATAATAACTGAAATAATTAAAAGTAACGATTATATTATATTATACTATAATATAATATATAATATATTATATAATTATAATATAATTATAATAATAACTGAAATAATTAAAAGTAACGATTATATTATATTATACTATAATATAATATATAATATATTATATAATAATAGTTTTTTATTATATAAAATATAATAATAAATATATATTATATTATAGTATAATATAATATAATATAATATAATTTTTAACTATATATAACAAATTAACTTCATAATTTATCAAACGCTATTACACTGATTTTTGAACCAAATTAAGCCTAAGACGTCTTAGGTTTTTATTCTCTCTTTATTAATTAAATGATAATTATTTATTTTTAAGTGAAGTAACATAAATAATATATTTTACATCTTATTTTACATCTTGAGTGGTATTTTTTTGTTTTTGCCCTACGTTCAAATTATAAACCCAAATCTGAAAAATGTTCTGAGCACAGATGGTATGAAGGGAGTTTAGATTAGAATAATAGATTTCAGGTTCAAAGCCTGGGGGTGTGGGCTTTTGAATTTTTAATCAAGAAAAAATGTTCTCATATACTTTATAAAGCCTTCAAGCAAATTTATGAAGGCAAGCAAAATATCTAACAATAATAAAAGAATAGAAACTTCTGTGAAAATCAGAAAATCCATAGAGTAAACGCTCAATTTTAGGTAAATCCTACATTTGCCCCTATGTTTTTGGTAATCCAAAAAATATTTAACTATCCCAAATTTATTCTTAAGTTTTTTAAATGACGTAAAATATAATCCTTTCAGTAGTCAAATTGTTGAAAATGACATAAATATCCTTCATAATCAATATTTAAACATTATCTTAAATATTAATAACTAAGAAATTATATTTAAAGAAAAAAGGCAAAATTTGTATATGATTTAAATATTGCTCTTTTTTTTCTTAGTTTTATTTAGTTCTAAAATTTGTTTTAAAAATTGTATATGATTAAGTTAAAATAATACTTAAATAGTAATTACTGAGGTTATTTTTGGTATTTCAAAAACTTTGACTAGGTTGAACTCCATCTAAGTACACATTTTTTGAACTCCCTAATATCTGTTATATTCTACAATTATGACGAGTTCTCAGTTTGCCACCATATGAAGTATGAATATATATGCACATATATATATATATATATATAATATCCTGTTGAATATTAACAGACCAGACGTATCTATATTAAAAAAAAATAATAATAAAAAATCTTAAAAGAATAACAAAGATAAAAAGGAAATATTAACAAGAAATCAATAATAGGTCCTGTTGAAGTTTACCAGCTTCTAATGTTCAGCTAGGAATCAAGTAGTGCAGAAGTAGGAAATTGAGTTGATGAGGAAGAGCATTCATTGTGTTAGACCTTCATCTGATCTTGCAACTTCATGATATCTGATTGAAGATATTTTATAGCTTCATCCTTTGCCTGAAGTTGCTCTTGAACCGCCATAGAAGGAGGTAAGAGTCTAGGAGTGGACGAGTCAAGATACAGATCGAACTCGGTCTCATATTTCTTCCCAAGAACATCCTCGAACATTGCTGCGTTCCATAGTTGTGGAATATCATTGAACGCATACCGCGATAACATGAGTTTATGAAGAAATACTAAGAAAATTCTTCAGAAAATAATACTCCACTATAACAAAAGCCATAAGAGTAATTTTAATGAAAATATGGAAAAATTTTGTAGCCCTGATTGTGATTTTTCACGGGTGTAAAGTTCAAAGTTTGTGCATAAACAAACAACAACAATGACAGTGTAATATGTTTATATTTTCTGACCTCTAATATAGGAGAGAAACAGTAAGCAACCACATGAGATTGATTTAGGTTCCTCCTCCTCATACTTCGCCGCAGTAGATTCAATAGGAATTCTCCTTTCGCTCGGATTTTCATCTTCACTTTCCTCTGCGACAGATTCAACTATTTCATCCTCCTTTGGTTCTTCCACGTTCTCTTTCATATCAGAATAAAAAACACTTGCTGTTTCACCACAACGTTCAGATTTGTAGCTTACAGCACCATCTTCTTCAAGGTTAGGATCATTTGCCAAACTGAGTTCCTCTACAATTTCACTTTTGCTAATCAGTCTGTCGGCTTCCTCTTTTCCCGTTGCAGACTCAGTTATTTCAGCTCCAATTGGTTTTTTGTCGTCTTCCTCATCTATATCAGACTTATCAGAAATAGAGAAACCGAGTTCCTCTGCCTCTTGGCGATATAATAGGCAGATTCCACATATTTTCACTTGACAGAACTCAGCATTCGATTGCTGAAAACGTTTATAAATTGGGTCCCAGGATTCGTATACAGGGTAGAAGTGAAATGCCACCTCAGTGACAATGTCTTCTACTTGTTTACAAGCATTAAAGCTGCCTGGCTCATAGAACAGGAACACGTGATCTGAATTGATGATTGTGGGTGTTGTCCCAGCAGCCAACCGGCAGCAACCACCAACATAGGCAAGAAAAGAATATTTTGATTTGTAACTTCCACCATTTTTGGTCTTCAAATGGACTTCAAATTCAAAATCCAACCGTGGATTAGCATAGTTGTAATCCTCGAATGCAGCCACAAAGCAAACGGAAAAACCTATGAAATCAGAATTAAGCCAATCTGAAGGAGGATTGAGATTTATTGAAGAACCTATTGCTTGGAATTTGAACCATTTCGGAATGTCATTTCCTGGGTAACAAACACAAACATCATTCTGTGGAAAACCCTGCACCATGAATAGGAATCACGATTTTTATAATTTACTAAAATTACATTAAAAATTAGAAGGAAGGGATGTACCGTAAATATATTAATTGCCATATGCCAAATTCTAAACTGTGCGTCAGCTATCACATTGCTGTATGCATCCTGATCCAATTGCAAGCAATTAAAGAAGCGCATTCGATGTTTTCTATTGGAGTATGTCCCCTGTTCGTGGATCCATGTGCTACTTGGCATTGTTTCCAGCAATGTGCAACCGCTCGCATCCAAAGTACATAGACTGGATGGAAGCTCTGGTAAAGATCGAAGATTCTTCCAATCTCTTACACAAAGGTGTTGCAAATTAGAAAAGCGTCTTATGTTTGCAGGTATTTTATCAATATATTTTCCCCTCAGATGTAAATGTGTAATCGAGGAGGAACAGAGCCGATCAAGGATCTCAAATGCATCACTATCCATCCAACAAAGCTCAGACAAGCCCCATGAAAGACCGACTTTCCTAGGAGGCCACTTTAAGAGATCAGAACACCAAGAAAGCATGATCTGGAAAAGCTGCTTTAAGTTATAAATGTTGCTCGGCACAAATTTAAGATTTTCACAGAGTTGCAAATCTAATAATTGAAGTTTAACTAGATTCTCAATCGATGAAGGTAGCTCTTTGATTTTCGTTCTAGACAAATTAAGACTTTTTAGATTTATACGCTCGATGATTTCTGGGAAGCTCACAAATTTTGAACAACCGCAGAGGTAAAGATACTCTAGTGATTTCAACTTACAGATACTGGTCGGGAGAGTCTGAAGCCTTTTGCAATCTTGAATATTAAATACCTTGAGATCATAAAGAAGTTCAATTGTTGAAGGAATTTCTTCTATTGATGTCCCATTCAAATTCAAATTCTTCAATGACTTCAATTTACAAATGCTGCTTGGAAGATTTTTAAGGCTTTCACAGTTTTCAAGTCTCAATTTTTCAAGTTTGTCGAGAGACCCGATTGATGCAGGCATTTCTTCTATTTCAGTGCCACTTAAATCAAGACGTACAAGAGACTTTGAGCAAACATAATCTGGAAGATTCCCAAGCTTTTTGCAATTGCTCACATTCAGATAAGCAAGTCTTTCAAGATTTTGAGAATTGTCTGATGGCAGTCCAAACAGATTCACACAACTTCTAACATCTATCCGCTCAAGATTCCAAGCACAAGACAGATCTGGCATTTTAATCAAGTACTTGCAGTAACGAAAATTGATGATCTTTAAGTTGCACAAATTCTGAAACAAGAGAAAAATAGGTAGAATAAATTAACATTAACTTTTGAACAGACTAAACCGAACAAAAAGATTTGAAATATAAATATATACACATATGTTATATACCTGGACTCCCTCCCAAAGTAGTTTAACTTGGCAATTGACCATGGAAAGCTCAACAAGATTCTCAGCAATAAAATCTGATGGCAAGGACTTCAAAGGGTACTCAGCCCAGTAAAAATATTTTAGTGTATTAGGAAGAGAGTGGAGACCTTGAGGGAGATGTACTTTGCACTTCTTAATGTCTCCTGAACTATAAATTTTGAGCAGTCTTAGATTATATGTCTCTTGGAAAATTGCAGGACTCAAGTGTACTTCTTTGATCTCGGATAAATCTAGAAATATTCCTTCAACCTTTGCTGTTGCCTAGAGATTAAAAATCATTAAAAACATTGGCAATTTGGAATTAGTATCCTAGCACGTCAATGAAACTTGCAAAAAAAAGTGCATTATGACACAATTAGTTAAAAACATTGGCAATTTGGAATTAGTATCCTAGCAACAAGAAGAAGAAAGAAATACGTGATACTTTATACTACTTACTGTATTATTTCTTAAAACATGATAGACATCTTGAGCTTTCCACAATCTGCTACGCTTTCCTGGCTCCTTGATGGATTGTTGATGTACAATTTCTTGACCCATTTCTTGTATCAAATCGTGCATGCAAAGTCTGTTTTTGTCATCGATGGTTAGAAGAGACTTGTCAACAAGATCGTCTATTATCATATCCACAAAGAGATCAGAACCTTCTAGTATTCTTTCTACATCATATCTTTTATAACCCTTGAAGAAACATGCGATATCAAGAAATACATCTTTCTGATCATCATCTAATCCATCATTATAACTTATCATCAATATGCTTTGAATTTTTCCAATCTTCGGAGAAGTTTCTAGCTTAGCTAGTAGACGACCCCATTTATCTCTGCCCCTAGTACCAAAAAAGGAACCCAAAGCTTTAAGAGCTAATGGAATGCCATTAGCATGCTTTACCACTCTTTCTAATAGCTCTTTAGAATATGGTACTGGAGAGCTTCTCCTAGAAGCATTCAAACAAAATAGTTGACGAGCTTCATCATAATCTAGTCCCTCGACTTTGTATATTGCACTAACCTGATTCCCAAATGACTGTCTATCTCTACTCGTAACAATTATCCTACTTCCAGGACCCACCAAATAATTAGGACTTCCAACAAAATATTCTAATTGCTCTTGATCATTCACATCATCAAGTACAATGAGAACTTTTTTACGACTGAGCCTAACCTCAGAGAACGTTGACCCTACAAATGGGACGCATATATTCACATCCTTTTCGTCAAGCAATTCTGAAAAAAGCTTATTACGACACTTTTGACGGCGTTTATCCCAGTTTTCCCTAACATTTTCAAGAAAGTAATGACCTTCAAATTGATGACAAATTTTCTTGAATATGACAGCAGCAAGGGTAGTCTTGCCAATACCGCCCATTCCCCAAATTCCAATGATGCGGACATCTAATAAGCCAACTTGTAGCAAGGATCGAATTTTCTCAACGGGCCGATTAATTCCCACCAGTTGCTCCTTGAAATCATAACTTGGTGATGATATGTCATTTAATTTCTTGAGAACATCTTCCACAATTGCTTCAACTAGTTCTGACTCAGACCTAGCATATAAGGGGCAGGCAATTATCTAGTAAAAAGGGACCAAACTAAAATGTAAATGAATAAATTGATTATGGACTTCATATAGTGGTGATCCTGTTAATGTTATTTTGCATTTATAAGAGAACATTTATAAATTCCCCTTTCGGGATTTCATTTTGTTTCCATTGCACGTCAAGGGTTTAAAAAAGATCAAAGATGAACGATAATAAGAATAATAATAATAATAATAATAAAGATCTTGCAGGATAGCTTGAAAATAGGACTTTTATTAAGAGCTAAGAAAATAGGACTAAAAGAGAGGTACTTTCTGTCAATCTTAGGTTAGACTTGCAAAGTATGAGAATTTGAGCAAATGCAATGAAGTCTATAATCAACTTTTGCTTATACAGCAATTCAAAAAAATTACATGAGAAAATTAAATAAATATGGTCCATGAGCACCAATCATAGATTAATTACCTGTTGTCCTGTATGAGCCAACCAGATAGATTGGCTGCCTCCGTCAAAGCAACCCTCCATTTGTGAATTTGGTCCTGGTCATTGCGTTTCCTAAGCTCATCAAATGCTTGTTTGAATCTACCCTTGTGTTTCCGCACAAATGATGGTTCTACATGGTAGAAAACGGGGATAACTCTTTGCCCGTATCTCTCCTTGCATTGGAGAATATGCAAGAGTTCATTTAAGCACCACGAGGAAGAAGCATAGTTTTGTGAGATAATGATGACTGAGAGTTTCGAGTCTTCTATTGCTTTCAAAAGTCCATATGAAATCTCCTCTCCTCTATTGAGGTCGTTGTCTATGTAGGTGTGGACTTTTTTTCGAATTAAAGCGGCATAAAGATGGCTTGTAAAATTATGACGAGTGTCCTCACCTCTAAAACTGAGGAAGACATCGTGCTTCTTTGAGCCGATGGAAGATGAAGAAGAAGCCATATTTGCTCGTCAAATGTCTACATATCCAAATGACAGCTCAGAACAATATCTTAAGAAATTGCTTGCTCCTGAAAATGGTGGGAAGAGATTAAAAGAACAGGGTAAACTATACTTATAACTAACAATATATGGAAAACACGGGAAACTACTGGGAGTTGCATAACAGGAAAAATATTGCAGACAATTTTTCTTGAGAAAAAAAAAAAAAAGCGCAAATTGCCTTTCACTTTCGGGAAGCACCGTCGAAGCATTCAAATAATTATAGGAAGAAACAAGAGAAGAAGAGACGCGTGAAAGAATCTAAAACTAAGAGAAACAACAGAGTCAAAGATAAAGGCAAAGGGAAGGAAAGATGATTATTAATAAAAGTACACAAGGAAAAAGAAAATGACAGAAATTGTTAAGTATGACTTCTATTTACCAAGTGCAAGTCCTAATTTATCTAACGTACAAGGATAAACTATAAGGATTAATTTTAAAAATTTTCCCTCAATTATGATTCATCTAACACTTTGTTTATATCCGCTCTCTCGAACTTATTCTGTTAATAATTTTACTCATTCTGTTACAAGAGTCACGAAATTTATCACATGTTCATTATTTAACCCATCTGAAGAGGATAATATCATAAAATATCATGTAAAAACTCCAGGCTATTAAAAAAGGATTAAAATGCATCAATTTATCATGTTATTAAAAAAATTAAGGAGCTGTTTGCCAACTCAAAAAAACTCAAAAAAAATAACTCGAGTTACAACTTTATTCGAATTTATGTTCTTTTAAGTTTGAACTCAAGTTTGAACTCGAGTTTAAGACTAAAACTCGAGTTCAAGTTTTTCCTTCAACTCGAGTTCAGCAACTCGAATTCAAATTAATGAACAATATTTTTTATATTCTTAAAAATGCTATAACTTTTTCGTTTTAATTCTTATTGAGATGATTTTTTTTCTATGCGTTGACAATGAAAAGACGAATAAAACCACATCCATATACCCTATTAAAATTTTTCATCAGCATTGAGTTTTTATTAAAATACTATTTAAATACAAATTCAAGTTTTGACTCACTCAAACACAAACTCAAAAAGATTCTTATCTCAAACCATAACTCAAATGTACACAACCAAACACAAACTTAAGTTACAATTTTAACTCAAATTATAACTCAAATTCAACTCAATAATTATACTCAAGTTAAACTTAAAAAAAAACAAGCCCAGATTTGCTCCAAAAACATTTCGAACTGAATATTAAATAATCGACAAATATACATTTCTCCTAATTAGCAGAAAGAATCAATAAATAAAAGTTGTCTTGCGTCTTGACTTCATTTTTTTTCCTCACTTTTCATCCATTCTTGGGTTTTGTATTAGCTTTGGGCATTTCTTCTAGATTTGCTTGAACAAAGTCACCATTTAAGGGAAAAATTAAAGAAAACAAAAAGAAAAAAGAGAGAAAAAAAAACTCATCTCTTCCTTTGAAGAGATTGGCTGGGTACTTTCTTTTTGAATAGTTGAATTTTAGATCTATTAATGGATTCATATTTTACATTGCACATAGTTCAACTTACAGATAATACATGAAACCCATAAATAATAGTTCAACTTAATAATGTTGATGATGACAAAGAAAAAAAAAATCTGAATATTGGGGTCTCATCGAACGCACGTCGACCTTTTGTGAGTGGTGCCGCCGAAGAAGTTGACTGCTATGGCTTCGACATTGGTGCCCAGACCATTCACGTTCGCCATTGCTCACGCCAGCTCCACATGATCTGAGAGCAAACTCAAAGTCGGCGATGGCGGTACTGGAGGAGGTGGAAATGGTTTGAAACGTTTTGGAAATTTTTAAGATCTCTCCCTTAGAATATGATCTCTGAGAGGAATCATGAGATATAGTTTTGGATAAACTGATGCAATAATGCCCCTTCCGTTACTAGTAATTCTGAACGAAGATGGGTATAAGCATAATTCTATTTTCAAATCTCACGAATAATGGACACGTGGCGAATTCCGTCACTTAGTGTAACTGAATGGACAAAATTATTAACGGAATAAAATTCCGAGGATCGAATGTTAAAATTTAAGAGATAAAATGTTAAAGGCAGTGAGAATTTTAAAATTAATCCAAACTATAATATGTAGTAATGATCTACTACGAAATTTCTGGAAGGCAAAGAGTAAAAGGCAGAAGACAGCACCATGTAATGCGGTCCACCGCTAACAAGACATTGAAATTGACAATAGGTAAATGAAAAGCAAAAAATATTCACAAACCACTGTCCACTTCCCACTAGATACTCAAATGGATTCAACAGGTCTTTGCTATTAACCCAACCCAAGATCTGAAACAGAATACACAGAGTACGTCTACGACACTGAATTCTAGTTATTCTGATACGGAAATTACAAGGGTAAGATAAAATAAACTTAGCTGCTTACAAATTTGTGTCCAGATGATGTCCTACCAATGCAAGAAATTTTTCTTGTCAATAAACTACTTCTGAAAAACAGATTTTTGATCATTGAAAAGTGAAGATTGTTTCTAGGAATGAAATGAATGATGCTTTTTTTTTTTTTTTAATGATACGAAACAAAGAACTTAACTTCATTGAATATCAGCAATAGTACAGGTAAAGAAAACAAGGTGTCCTCATGAATCAAACACCAGACAAGCAACAAACAAAACTAACACAACGAGGTGACCGCGAAAAGACGCATTGTAGTATCTTAGAAAGTTACTTGAGTTGGTAAAACCAGAAGAGATATTATAACCGACCAAACTAATACTTCTTTTCTCTTTGCAGTGCTGGGTAGCCCTGGATTTCTCCCCAAGTTTGGACACCGTCTCTTGGTAAGGCTTTCTCTTGCTATGCATCTCTTGACCCAAGCTGAAAATTTTGGGCTTATAACCCTGCAAGTGGAAGTTCCCAATCCCATGACTCCCGTATCCGTGAAATATGATTTAGAATGGGATAAAATCTTTGTCCAAGAATCTAAAATCATGGACTCCAAAGTCCAAAGTACAATTTGTCTCCCAATATGTCCTCCAAAAGCTTCAGAACCGATATCAACTCTTTATTGCCTTCTTTTTTGGCTTCACCTCTGCAAGAATTTTCTTTGAGTGCCAAAAAGCTGCACACAGACATCAGTTTCCACTACAACATTGACAATTTCAAGTAAGCTCAGATCATCGGTATAATAAAGTAGAACAGCTGAATCACGAATGGATCTTCCTTTACTGATCACAAATTTTATTACTGGATTCACTTCAAGAATCAGCCGACTTCTCTGAGGAATCCTAAGATCTTATCTCTTGTACTCATATTTTGATACCTTACTCCCAATTCCAAAGCCATTGGACCCAGAAATCAACCACCCTGGCATTACTGCTTCTGACACTCATCTTTGAAGCAAGATCAAGGCAAGTTCATATGCTAGACTTCTGTACATAAATATATTCTGCTCCAAATGATTGTTGAGTTTTAGAGAAGAGAAACAAGGTCACTCAAGAACAGGGCCTACGAGAAATACCAAAACCAACTTCTTTCCGATCATGAAAGTGTAAGACTAGTTCATAACTCATCATCTATATCCACTAGTTTATTTAGTAATAATATGTGTGTATATATATGGACGAGTTTTTAATAGTTACGTTCCTATCGTGGTTACACATTAAATATAAAAATTTGATGACGTGTCATGATAAGAATCCAGTTTTATTAACTGACATAAAATTTTTAGCCAATTATCCAATTTATTACAACCGCCGTATTAATATCTTATGGATAAAATAATAATACCTATTAACCAATAAAACCACACCCATAAAGACATCCCTTTGAGGGTATACACCAGAAAAGCAAAATGGGGATCAAAAAATAAGACGTCACAAACGAAAGCGAAAACTTTCTTTGAAATTGAATTATGCTCAATCTAGTTTTTCTTAATTCACTAATCATTGATAGCATCCAAGAAACATGCACAAAATTCATGACGAAATACAAAACATTGTAAACTTTTCCTTGATAATTCACAAGAACCACACAAAAAAAATACAAAAATTCAGAATTGAATCAAAATACAGAAACCTCGGTTATCTGATCAGAAATCAAATGGAGAGGAGAGACAATTGCTCCTCAACGGAGCAGTCGACATGACACGACGAGCGGCAAGACGACGGGATGAGAATGAGGCCGAGGCAGCGCTGCTCCATCGGAGAAGGCGACGAACGACGAGTGCTTCGATACTCGACGGCGTCTTGGAGAATAATGTTGCCTTGCTTGTCTAAGCAGTGGAAGTTTCCCATGAAAAACCGCCCGTCTTTGATCCCCACCAGCATCCGCCTATGCACCAGCTTGCTCACTCTGCTCAATGCTTCCGATTTCTCGCCTTCGCTAGAAGATTTCTCGGCTTGGCCTTCCATCGAACACTTGGTCTGCAGAAAATGATAGTTCAGTAATAATAGTAAACAAGAAACAGGAGAGATGCTTTCGGACAATGAAACGTAAAAGTAAACCAAAGAGAAATACGATTTTTTTTTTTTTTTGTGTGTTGGATGATTGGAAAGGAATTATCAGCCACTAAGAAGAGCGATTGTTTGGACTAAGGATCAGAGTCCCATCCAGGGCTTAAGAGGGAATCAGTTATGCCTTCCTTTGTGCTGAAGTTTTAGTTATGTCTCCCCTCCCTTACTTTGTCGAATTTTCGTAGTTTTTAGGGATGGCAATCTTTGCCGGCACCCGCCTCTAATATGACAGGTATATTTAGGATGGGAGCGGGTAGTCATAGATGGAGAGGCTTCTCCACCCACGCGCCCATTTTACATGTAGTATTGTTTTATACATATTATGTAATATGTATGTGCTATATTTAATATTTAGATAATTGACACGAATGATCTTTAAACTTATTAAAATGTGACAATTTTTTTAAATTTTTTTTACGAAATGAGTCCTAAACTATTTAAAATGGTGTAATGGCGTCCTTTCTGTTAAATATCGTTCAAAAATATGGACCAAATCCTAACCTATTAAAGTCGATTGAGACTAAAAAATCACCTTATAAAGAAGTAAGGGATCATAATGTCACCCTTTTAGGTTATTATGCTACTTTTTTGACGACATATGACGAAAAGGACTACATTGCACCCTTTTAAATAGTTTAGAGTTCGTTTCGTCAAAAAAAAATTTAGAGACCAAACTGTCATCTTTTAAAGAGTTTGGAGACCATTCGTGCAATTTACCCTTAATATTTTAATGTTTTGATTTATTTTACAAATTTAATTTATGAATTGTTGGAATTTAAATTTCATTTTTAGTTTATTTTTATGAGATATTGGTGACTATATTATTATATTTTATAATCAATTTAATGAAAATTGCTTTGGCTTTAATGATGTTATAAGATTTTTTTTAACTCTTATTTCTTAATGTATAAATAGGTAAGATATCAAAATAGTTCCTCCAATAAGAAATTCCCGATCTCTTCTTAAATTATGCGAGCATAGAGGCGGTATGATAGGCAAAAACTATGGGTTTGCTTCCTAGGAGTTTTCTTCTCAACAAAAGGAAAACAAAAAAAGTCTACCTATGGTTTTATTTTTCAATTTCACTTTTGCTTTGTTTTTTTTTTTGGTAAAAGGTTTCATTTTTCCTTTTTTTTTTCCTCGCACAATTTCGTTTTGGTAAATATATATATAATCTAGAAGGGAGATTATTGCACATACTTTTTTGATAGAATGTAACAATTAAAGGTGTCAATTTGGGTCTAATAGAATAGATCCTCCAAAACCTGGTCGAGTCTGCCATGAGCCTCCGGATCAAGTCAAGTCCAAATGCTTAGTCCAAAACACAATATGGCGGACCCTGATTTGGAATTTTAAATATTTTCTTATAAAAAAAAATAAAAATAAAAAAGAAGGTTGACCCGGCCCATGCAACTTTCGTGCTAGGTTGAGCCAGCCATATTTTCAAATGGGTCAGCCTGAATCATATAAAGTGCAGATTTTCAAGAAAGAAAATCTTATAATATGTTAAAAATCTCTTATAATAATGATCTACGTTCCTCAAAGTTGAATTCAAGGCTACTTGAATTTACTGCTCTAAATATAGTTATACTACTTTTTTGTTTTATAGAAACGCACAAAAACATAAGACACAAAAATGAGGGACAGATCGACGACAAAAGCCTTAAAGAAAGAGCAAAATCGTGATCCATAAGTAAATCCTACTAAATGACCTAATTCAAACATTCTAAAGCCCGTTCACTTCACCAATTTGAGTTTAGAATTTGAGTTTTGCTATAGTAAAAAATTCTCAGAAACAGTCACATCTAACTTTTTTGCTACAGTAAAAAGCTCTCACATAAAATCACATCTCAACTCGAATTACAAACTCGAATCAGCGAAGTGAACATGCCATAAATCGACAGTACTGGAGTTTTAAAAAAAAATTATAATTCTTAACTTAAAGGTGGGTTTTACAAGTTATTTCAAATAATTATACTAAATAAATTAATAAATAAGAATGGGCTTATTGCTATCCCTTCATTCTACTTTTCTTACACATTTTATTAAATTACCTATGATTAAATTTTAAATTTCCTCTCTTAAAATTTAAAAAATGTGCCTACAATTAAATTTTTTGGTTTTTCCTTTCCACCCACAACCAAACTTACCATTTTTTCCAACCGTTTATCTCTAGTTTTTTTAGGGTAAAATAAACTTCATTCCTTTTTACTACATGAAATGATACATAAGAACTATTCCATTATAAACTTAAAAGCAGTTAGTGAAATGGGGTTAGTTGCAACAGTTAAGCAAATTGAACGGGTAGCTACGTAGAAAATTTAATCATTTATTATTCCAGTTGAAGTTACCACACTTTTTATTTATATGAAAAAAGCCTTATAATATAAGATCATGAGATTTATTTTTGTCAAAACATTTATATTAGTGATTCAAAATTTCAAGATCTTAAAATGTCAACATCATAAGAATCATTTTTGTCCATCATTAACAAATAAGAACTATTTAAGTTGGGGTATGTAATGAGTATTTTTTAAAATTATTTTTATTTTTAAAAATAAATTATTAATGGATAGTTTAATAATAAGAAATTTTATTAAAGATGTATGAAAAGTAGAACTAGTGGTATTATTAGACACACTTCTTAATAAATAAATGTGTGATTTTCTTTTAACGTGATATGTAATTAATTGTAAATATTTTAATTTGTATTGTACTTTCATATAATGTTATAATTGTAATTCTTTCTATAGGAGATTTGGTGCTCCAGATATGGTAAACAGTTAAACACAATACGCGTAGTATAATTTAAACAAAAAATAATTAAAAGGTGATAATTGACAATAATAACGTAAGGCAACATAAATGTGATAAAAGTAATAAGAGAAATGTTTCACGCCGGCTGCCCACTATTTTCAGGATTTCTTTTACTTTTTCCCTTAATAACGAAATAAGAAAAATAAAAGAAACAAAAGGAGAAAAAGAGATTTAAGGTGATTCGAAAATATGTGTATATTTATAAATCAATAATAAAAAGAGGAAACTCATTAATAAATAGCACTATTGGCTCTATATAGTTAATACACATTATAAGAATATAAACAGGTAAGTTAATCAAACCGTCAAATGTAAAGAATTCTTAACATGAAAATAAATACAAATAAATTTATAACCATAATAAAGGTAACTTTCCTAATAGATATTTACCATTAAAAAAAAGAAACTTTCCTAATAGATATTTGGTTTATTTCTAATTCATATCAAAATCTAGGCATCGTTCAGTTCCCTGATTCAAGTTTTTAATTCGAGTTGAGATGTAATTTTATGTAAAAAATTTTGACGGTAGCAAAAAAAGTTAGATGTGACTTTTGTGAGAACTTTTAATTGTAATAAAATTAAAATTAAAAACTCAAATCGGTAAAATAAATGAGGTCTTAATATATAAACTGGACAACGACCAAACTTAACACTTGTAAATATTTATCTATAAATATAAATATTTACTTCAGTTCTAATTCGTATCAAAGTCTAACTGACGTATAAGCTAGACTAGGACTCGAATTAGCACTTGTCAATAAATACTAAATAGCGATGAGCGATCTCTCTAGAAATCACACTCACTAGAAAATATCATTTTCTTTCCTACGTTCAACTAGGCGCCATCTGATTCGCTTACACAACCAAACATCACAAAATTTATTTATTTATTTATTGTAAAATTATGTTTTGCAGGCCTTTTGTTCCATCCATACAATGTCGTTTTACTCTTTCTTTTCTCCTTAGTTTTCTCGTATTAGTCCTTGAGATGTCGTTTTGCTTAGTACACATAATCTTGTTTAAGAAAAAAGTTATTTTTTATTACCCGATTTTTTTCTTGATTTCTTTCTGGTAAAAATGTTTAGCTACTGCATCTATATAGGGGGTTTTTTTTTGGGGGGCTAATATCTGTTAAATGCCGTCTATTCGTTAGTGTTTAATTATTAGCTAGGTCTTCATAACATAGTTATAGTCCGTAGAAAGTACTTTAAGACATGTTTGATCTGATAGAGTTTTTAATTTTTTCAGAAAATAAAATAATTCCTTTTAATACGGTTATGTGAATTCCTTTAAATATAGACACCCTTTTTTTTACTTTTTACACACCCATTTTTAATATATTTTATTATTATTAAATTACCCATTAATAAAATTACTCTTAAGAACAATAATATTTATAAAAAAATTACTCATTACACACCTCACCTTAAAAAAAACTATTATTTTTTTAAACATAATTAATACGAATTTTCTATAGATCATTTCATCTATAAAGCTAATCTTTATATAGCTCCTTAATTGCCACTTTACTCTTCCTAAAATAAATTAATAATTGATATATTGAGTAAATAACTGATTAATCAATTTTAAAAAATTGGCCAGATTTTGGTTTTTTGAGTGAACTCTATTGAATTGTTGGTTGCTTTAAAATCTGGGAGTAGTGAATGAATGGAGTTTCTAAGCAGGGTTTAGTTCAAAAGAGAGTTTCAAACCTTGGATCAACGACTTGTAAGGCCAAATTCTGTAAACAAAAAAATAAAAATAATTTAATTTTCAATTTTTAGTTATCTTCTGCATTCTTGTTTTGTTGCTACCCGTTGGTAGATAAAGCTAAAATTTAGGGACCTTCCTAATATGCAATTTTCTGATAGATTTGAGTTCTGGGAAATTTTCTGTTAGTTCTTAAGTCCCAAGATTATGATGCAAATATAGTTATGTATTTGTGTCTCTGAGTATGATTTAGTTGAGGATGTTTTCTGGTATGTCTCGTGTGAAGTTTTTTTTTTCTTTTTTTTTTCCTTTGAAAGAGAAGTTATGGATTTTAGCAACTAAATACTGTTTCTGTGATGAAAACCATAATGTGGGTAATAAATCTTCTGTTCAACTCAATACGATTTTTCTATGAAGGAGTTTTATACTCTTCTTTAGTAAATTAGTTTTATACTCTTCTTTAGTAAATTGCCATTCTTTTGCTGCTAAGGATGAAACGGCATACTATAGCATTATAAGGGATAATCGCGTGAACGTGCTGTAATCCTACAATTGGAAGTTTTTTAAAAAAAAAAAAATTAAGAGGGGTGTAACAAGAAAAATAAGAGGTGACTTAAGAACGTGTGTGTGAAAAGTAGAATGTGGAGTGATTTAATTATAGGGACTTTTTTTGAAATTTTAATAGGGATGTAACAAGTAAAATGTAGTAAATTAAAAATGTGCACATAAAAATAAAATGAGAGGTGTCAATAGACGCAACTTTTA